TCAAAAAAAAAAAAAAAAAAAAAACTAGCTAAGTATGAGCCTTGTGCTGGAACCAGCAAGCAGCCTTTCTCCATGGTTTCTGCCTTCACTGAATTCTCCTGCCCTGACTTTCCTCAATGATGGACTTCAACCTGAAATACAAGTTTAACTACCTTTTCCTCTAAGTTGTTTCTAGTGTTTTTATCACAGCAACCGAAAGAAAACTAGAACAGTACCTAAAGAATGTCCACAGACAGGCTCACAAACAGGTGCTTGATTATGCTCAGTCAGAAGTAAAACTTCACAGAATACATGTTTACAGTCCCCCTCTATGACCCCCTCCCCCAAATATCACAGAAATCACATACCACACCACCAAGAGTGTGACTCTGAAGAAACGAACAGCAAACAAATAAAAACACTGAATCAGATCTACAAGAACTGTAGATGGTGGAATTATCAGACAATAATGTTTAACAGATTTAAGGAGATAAAAAACAGGAAAAAAATGGGATGAAGGATATAATAAACTACAAAAAGAAAATCAGAAAAAAAATTTCAAGAAATAATTCAGAGGCTGGCAAGGAGGTTCAGTGGGTAAAGCACTTGTCCTGAAAACCTGAGGACCTGAGTTCAATCCCTGAACCCTCCACATACACACCATGGCACGAATGTACCCACACTGACATTGATACACACACTCAGAATAAATTTTTTTAAAAAGAAGTAATTCAGTAACTTCCTTAGATGAAAATAACATGCTAAAATAAATTCAATAGCACCCCAGACCTATCTTTATAAAGATTCCATAAAGTATAAGACAGATATGAAGAATCACCCAGCCTTTGAGAAATAGAACAGATAAAAGAGGAAAACAGTCTGGGTAATGAGAATTCCAGAAAGTGGTAATTATGAAAACTAGAGTGTGTGCAATTTCTGAACAGAGCAGAATAAACAAACAAAGAAACAAATAAAATGAAGCCAGGCACAATAGCACAAGCCTTTAATACCAGCATTCTGGAGGCAGAGACAGGTAGATCAATGTGAACTTAGGTCCAGCCTGGTCTACACAGTGAGTTCCAGGACAGCTGGGGCTACAGGGAGACTCTGTCTAAACAAAACCAGTAAAATAAAACACTGTAAAAAAAAAAAATTAATAAGGGGCTGGAGAGATGGCTCAAAGGTTAAGAGCACCGGCTGCTCTTGCAGAAGACCTGAGTTCAATTCCCAGCACCCATATGGCAGCTAACAACTGTCCAGAACTCCAGTTCCAGGGGATCTGACGCCCTCTTCTGACCCCTGAGAGCACTGCACGACATGGGTGCACCTATCTACGTGCAGGCAATACACATATACACATACAATAAAAATAATTTAAAAAATAAATGACGGGTTGGAGAGATAACTCAGCAATTAAGAGCACTGACTGATCTTGCAGAGGATCCGAGTTCGATTCCCAGCACCCACATGGCCGCTGAGAACTGTCCTTAACTCCAGTTCCAGAGGAATCCGAAGCCCTCTTCTGACCTCCAAGGCATTGCACGACACAGGTGCACTCACACACCTGCAGGCAATACACTCATATACATAAAATAAAAATAATATCTTTTTAAAAAACGGTCCACATAGCCGGGCAGGGTGGCACACGCCTTTAATCCCACCACTCGGGAGGCAGAGACAGGTGGATCTCTGTGAGTTCAAGGCCAGCCTGGTCTACATAGTGAGTTCCAGGACAGCTGGGGCTACAGGGAGACCCTGTCTCAAAAAGACCGAAAAAAAAAAACAAAAAAAAAAACTTAACCTACAAGGTTCAATAAACAGTAATTAAAAAAATTAAGAGACCAGGAAGAGATTATACGCTTGGATGACGGTTTCCCTTCATCTGTAAGAAGACAAAAGCAGGCCCCTGGCCACTGCACTGTCAATTGTGCTGGCACACTTCCTGCTCCTTTTTCATACCTTGACTCTATTCTCCAAATACTCTCAAATTTTTAAGCAGTTAGAAGGGAAGACAGTATTCCAATCCTTTCATTCTAAGTTCTACTTGGTGATGGAGGACACAAATACACATTAATTACATACTTACTTTTCATTAGTTTCCCTGATAATTCTTTCAGTGGAGAAGACGGACTACTTCTACTAGCTACTGTAAGTCTGGAAGAAGATTCTTGGGTGTCCATAGCAATTTGATGAGTTCCTGCTGTGACCATTTCAAGATGGAGAGGATGGGCACTGTCACATTCCTGGGAAAGCAGCAAATGATTCTGAGTGTTCCAAGTTCTACCATTCAGGTCAGTTCCTTCTGATTGAGTCATAAGCACTTGGGCTGAGCTAGAATCCTCGAGCCTCTTGTCAAGAGACTCGGTTATAAAGGACATTGCAGTTTCGTGCTTTTTAGGTGGAGAAACAGGCTCAGCCAGTGAGCTCTGCTTCACTGTGTTTAGACTGTGTGCTCTTATTCGGGACCATGCGGTAGAGTGAAAACTTTCAGCCTCTAACCAAAATTTCACCAAATGCTCCATTCTCCGAAGTTCCATGAACTGAATGAAATATGGGAGGACAACAGTGTCATGCAAGACTTGTTCAAGGGTCTTTGAAAGACTGGATTTGGTCTCTTGAGTTTGGTAGTCCAGACAAGATCTGCCTAAAAGACAGAAGCAATACAATCAGCAGTTTGGTAACAATTTCAGATCTAAAAATCAGTCAATTACCTTTAGCAATAATGGTACCAGATAACACTTCCAAAGTGCTTTTCAAAAAATTACATCTTCTCTAACTGGGACTGTTCATTTCCTTGCATCCTCACTAGCATTCAAATTAGCAAACTTTTAATATAGCCTAATATTTTAACTATTTTGATTTGTATTTCCCTGAGTACTACTGAGGTTGAGTCAGATTTTTCATGTGTCTTTATTTAGAGGTCAAATGTATTTCTTTTGTAAACTGCTCATTTTTCACTGGCCATGCTTTGTATTTACAGGATATAGCACAGTACCACCTCATTTCATTTGGTATGATTTTAGATTAAATGGATTTTTTTCAAAGTCTCTCCCAACTACACTAGGCAAGGTGGTGCATGCCTTTTAATCACTGAACCCAAGAGGCAAAGGTAGGTGGATTTCTCTAAGTTCAAATCTAGCATGGTCTACACAGCGAGTTCCAGATTGGTCACGACTTATAAGGAGACCCTGGTCAAAAAAACAAAAACAAAAACAAAACAAGTCTCTTCCAATTACCAGTATCCTGAGACAGGAATTTCATATACTCTATTAAATTTGTCCTTGATTAGCAATCAAGAAGAGGTAGTCACTTACCCAGGTCCCCAAAATGAGCAGCCTCCATATGGCTTGGCTGCTTCTTAAGTGTAGCTGTCCTGCTACTAGAGAAAGAATCCATATTGGCAGAAATGGCATTGATTGCAACATGACTTGGTCCTGCAGCCTCCAGCAAGGCATGATTTTTAGTGCTTTTTTGTGGGGAATGTACAGATACTGAAGCTATAATTTTTGAAAAAAATGTTAAAAATTAAACACAATTTCATAATCTAAAATTCATCAGACTTTAAGACAACTTTAAAAATTAAAATTTCTAACACATCACTCATACAGCACACTCAATAAAAAGTTAAGATAAAAGGTAATTCAATCAAGCAGCAGCAAAGTAGAAAGAAAACACTATTACTATTCAGAATTCTAAAAATACTGCAAAGTATTATGCAGTTCTCAAAATGGAACTTAGATCTTTGAAAACTTTGTTTATAAAGGATACAAAGGACTAAACACAAGCTGGATATAGTGGTCAACTTGGAAGATTGAGACAGGAGGCTCATGAGTTTGAGGTCAATCTGGGCAACACAGAAAAATCTGTTTCCAAAATGAGAAAAGTACAAAAACCAGAAAGAATTTTGAAATATTTTTTGAATATTGAATGTTTTGCCTAAATGTATGTTAGGGCACCTGTGCATATGCAATGTCTCTGAAGGCCAAAAGAGGGCACTGGTGGGATGGTTGTTAGTTGCCATGTGGGTGCTGGGAACCATACCTGAGTCCTTAGCAAGAGCAGCCAATGCTCTCAGCCACTGAGCCCTCTCTCCAGTTCCCCTTTTCAATTTCTTTTTGGTTTTTTTCTTTTATTTTTGGGGGGATTTATTTTTATTTTTATGTATGTGTTTTGTCTGCAAGTATACAAGTGCATCCATGTCATACAATGTCCATGGAGGCCAGAAGAGGACATCAGATCCCCTTGAACTAGAGTTATGAACAGTTAGTAGCTGCCACATGTGTGCTGGGAAACAAACTTGAGTCTTCTGCAAGAGCAACCAAGGGTTCTTAAACAGCTGAGTCTTCTCTCTGGTCCCCCTTTTATTTTTTCAATCCTTAATTACCTCAGAAACAAAACTGAAATTTAGAAAATGCTTGAGAAAAAAAAAAAATCTAGTAAAATATTCATCAGAATACTTTTCTTTTGAAAAACTGAGTAACAAAGTATATTCATCTAATAAACTACACTGGTGACCAAAGTTCAAGCTATTGAAAAATAAGTACACTTAAAATTTACAAAGTACGGGCTAGAGATGCAGTTTGGTGATAAAGAGTGCTTGTTTAGTGTGTGTAGAGCAGGCCTTGGGCTTGATCCTCAGTCCTTCAATTTGTTGTTGGTGCTCTGCTTACAAAAATGTATTTAGTAGTCTAAAGAAACAGTTTCATACATTTAACTTCAGAATAAGAAGTTATCAATGTGTTAACAGAAAATAAAAATACTACAATACTGTCAAAATGACCCTTAAAAGTTGCTGCTGCAGCTGAATTAAAATTCTACCTGTCCTATTTATTCCATACAAGTAGTAATGACTCCTAGGAAAGAATAAGTGCATTGCTACAACAAGGGGGGGGGGGTTATAGGTCAGTTAGCATTCCATGCCTCAAAACAGTCTTAGGGAACTAAGTTGTGTCTCTCTCCTAGCACCTCTGGTAAGCTCTCAATCTAAGCAAACAGTCCCAGATGTAATTTTGTAGAGTTGGTTCTCTCCTCCACCTTTACATGAGTGCTGGCTAGTTTTCTCATATAGAAAATAGCTACACAGAAAACTCTACAGAAAGGGCGAGATTTTCTAGTTGTTTCTTAATTCTTCATGTATCGGGCTTTTCTCTCCCTCTCTTAACTTCTGTCAGAACAAGTACCTCGTATTCACTTTCTAATAGTTTCTTACTTTGGTCTCCACAGTACTATACATATATATATATATATGTATATATACATATACATATATATATATATATTCCCCTAACTTCCTCATCTGTTTCTTCATCCCTCTCATTTTTCTACAACAAAGTTTTTTGTTTTTGTTTTTTTTTTAATATTTTATTTAGCCAGGCGTGGTGGTGCACACCTTTAATCCCAGCACTTGGGAGGCAGAGGCAGGTGAATCTCTGTGAGTTGGAGGCCAGCCTGGTCTACATAGTCAGTTCCAGGCTAGCTGGGGTTACAGGGAGACCCTGTCTCAAAAAGAACAAAAAAGAAGAAAAATTTTATTTATTATTTTTATGTTATGTGGATGTGTGTACTGTCTGCATGTAGGTAAGTGCACCCATGTCATGCAATGCCCACAGAGGACAGAAAAGGATGTCAGATCCCCTGGAACTGGAGTTACAGACAGTTGTTAGCTGCCTTTAGGGTGCTGGGATTCAAACCTGGGTCTTCTGCAAGAACAGCCAGTGTTCTTAACCGCTGAGCCATCTCTCCAGCCCCAGAACAAAGTTCTTAAATGTCAGAAAAATGAGCCAGAGCTGGTGAGATGGCACATACCACCCAAGCCTGGAGGCCCTAGGCTGTTCTTTAATTCTTTCTTCTAGAAAGCACATTTATTTTCAAACCTTCAAGTACTACTGGAGCAACAGATTTGGAACTTTAATCTATAAGCTCCTTCCCCCATATAACCTTAATAAAAGTCACACCTCATTGTGTCTGTGAAGTTGAGAGCAGCTCACCATTTCAAGAGGACAGTCTCATTTATGCCTCTCTTGCTTTCTTGGCAATAGCTCCTACAGGAAACCTCTGTGGAGAGCTGGGGAACCCTGGCCTGAATTTCCTGTCTGTCCTCTGATCTGGGCTCTGGTCTACACCTCTACTTTGTTACAGTTGGCATTTCTGCTCTGGCTTTGCCATCTCAAGCTCAATTTGTCCAAATATAAAAACTTACCACTTTTTCTAAACTCCATCCCAATTTCCCTGTCTGGCTCTCCAATTCACAAATCTCCAAAGGTCAAAATCATGAACTCATTCTTTTACATTTTGTCTGTTTACTTGTCAGTATCTTTTCTCCCTTCAAATTGTTTACTACCTACTTTCCTATTTATCTTCAAGACTAATAATAATCTCATTTTAAACTTTCTATAAAAATTTCCCTTTACTTATCTGAAGGTCCCTCTGCCTAGTATACACATAAATTAAGAGGCTGGTAGGGATCTTCTCTTTCATTCAAATGCTTCTTACTCCTACTTTTTTGGGGTTTTTTTTTGCAGGGGGTGGGGGTGGGGGGGTGTCTTTTTTAGACAGGGTCTCTGAGTAGCCTCAGCTGGCCTAGAGCTCACTATGTAGACCAGGCTGGCCTTGAACTCACAGAGATCCAACTGCCACTGTCTCCTGAGTGCTGGGATTAAAGGCATGTGCCACCACACCCAGCTTTCTTACTCCTGCTCTTACATAGACTGTTTCATTTCCATGAAGTATGAAGTCGTCTCTAAAGTCCAGAAATCATCTGCTGATCTCAAATTCTCTGGACTCCTTACTTAATCTGGATAATTCAACATATTGTGGGCCTACTATGTTAAAATGAGGCAATAATCACTACCAGTAGAATACCTGCTACATACCAGGAACTGCTGGTTTAGCTATGGGGTTTTTGTTTAGTTTGTTTGTCTCTGAACAATTCTGCAAGACTAGTATTTTCCTCATTTTAGAGGTAAAGATAAACATGTAAAAAAGTTAACTGCTTTGCCCTAGGTAAGTCTATGAAGGAGTGAAGAGTCATTTCAACAGGCCGAATTCCAGCCTAGGTCAACTGCAGTCTAATATCTTTGGTTAAAGCTTCAGACCCTAGAATTACTATGTATAAAACATTTGTAAATGAATGACTCAAAAGTACTTCCTACTCAATATACTGCAAGTAAACATATAATTTCCCAGCTTGGCTCTGTTGGGCAAGACAGAAAGACAGCTAGTCATTGACCTTAAATCTTCTTCTCCCTAACACTTTGAATAAATTGAAGTTCAATTTATTTCATCTATTAAAAAAAAAATCTGAGCTGGGAATGGTGGCGCACCCCTTTAATCCCAGCACTCAGGAGGCAGAGGCAGGCGGATCTCTTTGAGTTCAAGGCCAGCCTAGTCTACATAGCAAGTTCCAGGCCAGCTGGGGCTATAGGGAGACCCTGTCTCAAAAAGAATCCCCCCCAAAAAAAATCTGTCCAGATTTTTTATTCCCATCACTATTGCTCTAGCCCAAACCATCTGGAAAATTATTTGACAAATTTTCCTCTTCCTTACTATAAGTTTAATCAAGGCAATAATCAAGTCTTTCATGGTCTCTGTTATAACCAGTTTTTGTTTAATACCTAGCTTAGAAAAGGTGTTCTATAAATGGTAGCCATTATTATTTTGCTTTACTTGGTATTGCTGTGTATCTAAGTTTGTCTTGCTAATCAGACTGCAACTTAAAATTTTTTAATTTTACTAATTATTCATTAGTGTGTGTGTACATGTGTGTGTGGTGTAGGTGTGAGTGCCAGAGGTATGTGGAAGTCAGAGGATAACTTTCAGGAGTCAGTTCTCTCCTTCCAAGAAGGGTTTCAGGAATGAAACTTTGAGGTCCTCAGACTTAAAGGACAAGCAATTTTTACCTGCTGAGCCATCTCGCTGGCCCTGAGACTGCAAACTCCTTGAGGGGCTGCTTTTTAAAAAATGTTTCTGTATTACCCTAAGGTAACTTTTAACTGTTAAGTGCAAATTATGTACTATCACCAACAGATTAGGAGCATAAAATTTCTTAGACTGGATTTTAATTTAGAGAATTAGAAACTCACGATAAACAAAATAAGGCTGATCCCCTCATTCATTCTATAAATGAAGAATCTGAAGAAACATGACTTTCCAAAGCCAGCCAGACTGCTGGTGTCAAATTTTGGGGGGTAAAAGACTGAGGTAAATCTCAAAATATGTTATAATTAATCTCTCTGACAAATTGAACATACAGTGAACACTCATTTCTGGCTGCAAAACATATAAACACTAGATAAGAAAATTTTAAACACGTAATAACAATCTGAAGATTTCAGCTATGTTATACTATGAATTTTTTATATAGAGACTACAGAAAGAATTTTCCACTGTATTTTCTCATTCCAATCTCAGTATACTGGACATGAGTCAAAAACAGAGACCCTGTCTCAAAAGACCAGAAAAAAAAAAAAAAAAAGCACATTTGAATCTATAAATAGGGACAATGTTAATGACAACAAAATACTCCAAATAAGCTTTAAGTCAAGGTCATTCAAAGTAACGATGTGGAAGCTATACTCATCCACGTCTGAACAAACAGCAAAAGTGCATTCCTTCAGTTGTCACACTGCTTAGTATTTGGTTTTGCTTGGTTGGTTGGTTTTTTTGGTCTTTTTTGGACAGGGTTTCCCTCTAGCCCCAGCTGGCCTGGAACTATGTAGACCAGGTTGGCCCTGAACTCACAGAGATCCACCTGTCTCTGTCTCCCAAGCACTAGGATAAAAGTCATGCGCCACCACATCCACTCAGTATTTGTACTGAGGTCCACTAATGACTTTGAAACAAACGTAATTAATTAGAGCAGCCAGTAAATACTCAGTAAAAGTCTAATGTGCTAGCTGTTAGTTTACAGGTTAAAAAAGAAAGTAAGTCACAATTATAAATAATCATAAAATAAGGCAAAAATGATTAATGTCAAAAGAAGGGAGAAGGGCTAGAAAGATGGTTCAGCAGTTAAGAATACTTCCAGGTTAGAGAGATGGCTCAGTGGTTAAGAAAACTGACTGCTCTTGTTTAACTCCAGTTCCAGGGGAATCCGAAGTCCTCTTCTGATCTCCACAGCATTGCACGACACAGGTGCACTCACATACATGCAAGCAATACACTCATACACATAAAAGTAATAAATAAAATATTTTTTTAAAAAAGAATACTTCCTGCTCTTCCAGACGACTGAGTTCAGTCTGCAGCACCCTTGTCAGGCAGCTCACAACCACCTGTAACTCCAGTTCCAAGGGGATCTAAAGCCCTCCTCTAGCCTCCATAGGCATCTGAACATATGTAGGCATATAGCTATTAATTCTGTCTCTCTCTCTCACAAAATAAAATAAAATTAAAAATAAAATAAAATAAATAAAAAGGGAGAAGCTACAACACAAAGCCAGTGCCTAAACTCACCTTTAATGGACTTGACGTCTGGGGTCTTCTCTTGCTCTTTGCCTTTCACTAGAACACAAAAGGACATTGTGACCAATTTTTATAGTCAAAGAGATTCACTGTATATATTGTCAACATCAGAGAAGCATGACTCTGAACAGATGAGTGTTCAAAGTTCCAGAACAATGAACTATGTGCTCTGGGGGCAGTTAGGCCACAGCAGGGCACAATCAGAGAAGAATTCTCAACTACAGGAACCTTTGAACAGCATTCATTCAAAAACTAGAGAGGGCCTTTGAAGAAACAACATGGTCTCTTCTCTTCAAAACATTTGTGTTCAAGTTCGCCTCCTGCTATTTAGTGGCCATGTGATCTTGGACAAGTTACTTCACTGGATGTTAATTTCCTCAATTAATAAAATCAGGTCAATGAGACTTTAAACCTTAGAGAGTTTCTGATGAAAAACTAAACACTTGTAAAAAGGCATTTGAAATAAATTTAGAATAAATGCTAACTAGTATAACCACGAGCCACCCACAATACTGCCTCCTACAATACAAGCATGGTGAAGAAAAAAAAAATGTCTTCAGTTATACATTATCTTACTTCTTTTGCATTCCCTCCATAGCATCAGATGCAAACATCTCAAACTTACATCCTAAACTTCTAACACCCAAAGTTTAATAAGTTGTCTCTAAGATGATCAAATAATCCTATCCTTCCTCTATGACAAAAAACAGTGAAGATTCTATCCAGAAAAGCTCACAATATAACAGCAAGCAAGAAAGGTGCAAGGCAATGTTGCCAGGTGTGAATTCTATTATAAAATCTGACCTTAGGTTATTTTTTAGTCTGCTTTACTTTGTTTTTAACATTAAACTTTCTTTAAATTCATCATGAACAGCTTATCAAAGTAAGAAATTTCAGACTGTGCCTATGTCTCTATGTTCCAAAATATTTAAAGCTGAAAAGTCAAAAGCAGAAGAGTAGCTAGCTCTGAGTATCTTACTGAAGTCAACCAATCTATCAACAATTTGGGTGCCAAGCATGTACCAGATTCTCTCCTGCATCAAAAAAGCAAAGCCCTTGCCTTCAACAAGTCTTTCTAAGAGAGTAGGCACCAACATGGGAAAGATGAGATAGGTACAAGTAGTAGTGGCCACTGCGATTGAAAGAAGACAAATCAAGGGAATGCAGCAGAATGACTGCTCTCTGCAGCCCTCTGAGCAGCATCTGCCAACTGGCTACATCTCTCACTTAATGCTACCTTGTCCCTACCTTCGTGGCACACCACCACTGGTTTTATAGCTGTTCCTTTTCCAGTATATCCCTTGCTAACCTCCCCTCCTTAGCCTACAGGGAGAAGTCTCATGAACAGGAGAGGTTTCTCTTTTTTAGAAAAAAAAATTTATTTAATTTTTGTGTATTCATACAGAAAATCATCTTTACACCCTGTCCCCTTTGGCACCCTCTCATAGCGGCCCCCCTCCACTAGAGTTGTAACTTCTGTCATTTGTATTAAGGCCTATCATGTAAAGTTAGTGTCCCATGATGTCCCTCAGCGCAAGTTCATCCACTGGGATCTAGTCAGTTTATCTAGAGTCACCTCATTCTTACCCAGCAGTAGTCAGCTGCCAATAATTCTTGGATTAAGATTGGGGCCTGCTGTTCATTTTCACAGTTCTGTGTGTTTTTGTCTGCTTAAGTTTACATGGGTCTTGTGCATGCTGACACCATTGCTGTAAGTTCATATGAGTCCCAGGACCCTGAAAGGCCATTTCCATAAGGTCATGCACTTCCTCCCTGGATCTTACAATCTTTCTGCCCCTCTTCCGCAATGATCCCTGAGCCATAGGTGGGTGGATTTTAATATAGGAGTCCTGTTCAAGTACCTCCCACTCTGCAGACTCTTATTTCTACGCTTTGGCCATTTGCATTCCTGGTCCTCTGTTGCATGAAGGAGCTTCAATGATGAGAATTGAAAGAAGCATTAGTGTTCTCTTCATCCCTTGTTCTATGTTCTGTGAGCCTTAGGTGTAGAGGTTGCTTCCTGGATGTGTCACTTAGACTAGGGTAGTTCACAGACAATCTCTGTATGTGACCAGTTGTGGAACTCTGTAACTATCTCTTGAAAAAGAAGCTTCTTTGATGGGTGGTGACTGGGATACTTGTCTATAGATTTAGTACCACACATGAGTTTCCTCCTAAATGTTAGATAGATAGTTAGATAGACAGAATGACTGACATACAATGTTACTTATGTTCACCTCAAGCAACCTTCCTGCCTCAGCCTCCCAAGCAGCTGGTATTACAGGGTGTATTTCAATGTCTGGCTTATACTATTAATTTTCATTGATACATAATTATACATATTAAGGAGTACACTGTAACACTTCAATACATGTATACAATGTCACAATCAGATCAGGGTTCTTCATTTTTATTTATTTTTCTTTTGAGACAGGGTCTCCCTGTAGCCCCAGCTAACCTGGAACTCACTATGTAGACCAGGCTGGCCTCAAACTGACAGAGATCCACCTACCTCTGCCTCCCAAGTGAAATCAGGGTTCTTCATTCTTTTTTTGTTGTTTTGCATTTTGGGTTCTTCATTCTTAAAGCTTTCAATACCACAGCTAAACTGTGACTACTAAATTTGTATCTCCATTCTATGGCTTGAGATGGCTCAGTGGGTAACAGATGATGGAGATCTAGTTTATGTAGCAGAGTTTACTGCAGTTACTTAATTCCTTTATAAACATCCTCTACCCATTCAAATATTGATGTTGATGATCATGTAAAATGTCTCCAGGTTAAGTCCTTAGAAATAAAATTGCTGAGATAACTGTTTATATTTGAGATAAAACTGGTTAGAACAATTTATACTACTATATCTAGCTATATTTCTTCATACTTTCACCCTATTTTTAATTTTTTGCCAACTTACTACTTTTGAAATGCTATTTGGTATCACAGTTGTGCACTGGTGAGCCAAAATATAGTTCCCAAAGCATAAAACATCACATTTGGTCATTCTGTACTCTACTGTCCACCTGGTTGAATTTCACTTCTCTGAAACCCAGAAGGCAAAAGCAGAAAGGGGAGTATCTTCTTCAGTACAATGACCTCATCATCCAAGGGCTCATCAAAGATACTGACTTCAGCAGCTGAGAGATGGATCAGTGGTTAAAAGTACATTACTGCTATTCCAGAGTTCAGTTTCCAGCACCTATGTCTGGTGGCTCACAACTACCTGTAACTCCAGCTCCAGAGGTATCCAACACCTTGCAGGTACCTGCACTCACCCACACACATATAATGAAAAGAAATAACTGTGCCAGGTGTGGTGGCACACATTTTTAATCTCATCACTTGGGAGGCAGAGACAGGTGGATCTCTGTGAGATCAAGATCACCCTGGTCTACATAGCAAGTTCTAGGCTGGCTGGGGCTACAGGGAGACCCTGTCTCATAAAGGCCAAAAAAAAAAAGTAATAAATCTTTAAAGATTTTGCCTTCATTTGTTGGGCCTATGAAAAACACATGTCAAACCCACTCCCAAAAACACACTTAGGAATTGTATTTGGGATGGAGTCCTTCTAGGAATTTTTGATTTTAAAACTGATAGGAATTTTAAAAGTATAGCAAGACTAACTACATATATTCTTGCTTAAATAATTTGTTTTGTTTTTGTTTTGAGATAGGGTCTTACTCTACAGCCCAGAATGGCCAGTAACTCACTATGTAGCCCTAGCTAGCCTAAAACATGTAGGACTCCTCCTGCCTCAGTCTCCCAAGGGCAGGGATTACAAATAGGAATCATTGTGTATAGCTTAAGAAATCTTTTAATCACACAAATAAGCTACATCTGCACTTCTTTGTTTCATTTAAGATTAAGCATCTTTTTTGTTTATTGGTCATTTAGATTTCCTTTGTGAACTGCTGCCACAGCTAGCTGGTTTGGAACTCACTAAGTAGACCAGGCTGGCCTTGAACTTAAGAGATCTGCCTGCCTCTGCCTCCTGAGTGCTGGGACTAAAGGTGTGCACCACCATGCCCAGCCATTTTATAATAAAATTTAATGTAATCAAATTTGCATTAGATTTTATCTTACTTTTGTGTTTGTGTAGAGGTCAGAGGTCAACCTCTAAAGTGGTTCCTCAGGCACTAGCCACCTTAATTTTTTAAAAATTTTTATTATTTTTATTTTACGTCTATGACTGTATTGCTTGCATGTATATAAGTGCACCTGTGTCGTGCAGTGTCTGCAGAGAACAGAAGAGGGCTCTCAGATCCCCTGGAACTGGAGTTACAGATGGTTGTTCACTGCCATGTGGGTGCTGGAATTCAAACCTGGTTCTTCTGCAAGAGCAGCCAGTGCTCTTAACCGCTGAGTCATCTCTCCAGTCCCTTATCCACCTTATTTTTGAGACAGTCTCTCACTGACCTTGGAGTCATCAAGCAAGCTGGATAGGGAACCCCAGGGATTCACCTGTTTCTACCTCTCCAGTGCTAGGATTATAGGCAGGTGCTACCAAACAGGCACTTTATTTTTGTAGTTAAAAAAAAAAAATGTATTATTTTTATGTGTGTGTACTGCCTGCATGTATGTTAAGTGCACCCATGCCATGCAACGCCCACAGAGGTCAGAAGAGGACATCAGATCTCCTGGAACTGGAGTTACAGAGGGTTGTTAGTTACCATGAGGGTGCTGGGAACCGAACCCAAGTTCTCTGCAAAAGCAGCCAGTGCTTGTAACTGCTGAGCCATTTCTCCAGCCCATAGTTTTTTTAAAAGTGTGGTTCTAGGCCAGGTGTGGTGACACACACCTTTAATCCCAGCACTTAGGAGGCAGAGGCAGGCAGATCTCTGAGTTTGAAGCCAGCCTGGTCTACAGAGTGAGTTCCAGGCCAGCTGAGGCACCAGGGAGACCCTGTCTCAAAAAAAAAAAAAAAAAAAAAAAAAAAAAAAAGTGGTTCTAGGGATTGAACTTATTCCTTCACTATCTGATCTAGTTCCCCACCTGCTGTATTTTATTTAATTATCCTTTTCAAGATCAGATGGGGGTTTTTTTCCCCTCCAAGTGATTTCCAGTTTTATTTTTTCACATTTTATGCTCCTTTCTACCTGGAATTCCTTTAATAAATTTTTTTTTTATTTATTATTCTTATGTATGTGTGTAGGTATATGTGCCACAGCACACATGTAGAGGCCTAAGATCAACTCTGTGAAGTTGGTTCTCTCCTTGTAATTTTACTTGGGTTCTGGGGCTTAAACTCAGGTCATCAGGTCTGTGTGGCAAGCACTTTACCTGCTACACCATCTAGTCCCTGGAATTTATTTCTGTATTTTAGAGATAAGTTATTACCCATGCACCAAATCTACCCTACCACCAGTTTTTAAAAATATGGTCTTATTGCTGGGTGTGGTGGCGCACGCCTTTAATCTCAGCACTCTGGAGGCAGAGGCAGGCAGATCTCTATGAGTTGAAGGCCAGCCTGGTCTACATAGTGAGTTCCAGGACAGCTGGGGCTACAGGGAAAGCCTGTCTCAAAAAGACAAAAAAAAAAACTTTAAAAAAAAGGCCAATGCTATTTCCTATAGGTCATTTCTATGTAAATGTGAAAATAAAAGGTCTATCATGAAAGAGATCTTAAGATAGTCTAAAAAAAGACAACTGAGCATTAATCTTATAATTTCATCCATTCCAAGGCACAGGCTTCACAATCTCCTTATAAGAGATAGATATGCCAGGCTTGGTGGTGCATTCCTATAATTCCAACACTTGGAACACTGAGGCAGGAGGATTACTGTAACCTGGGCTACACAAAAAGTACCAGTCAGGGCCATATAGCAAGACATTGATTTGAAAAGACAAAAAAATAATAAAAGAGATGAATATATTACAGAATTATAGACAAGCACCTCAAAAGACAAAGAAGAAAATGAAAACATAACAGGTAAAATAAGAAAATGAGTAAACGCTAAGGTAAAGCTTTAATATTTTTAAAGTTTTTAGATTTATTGTTTTAAATGAAATGTAACAAAATCAATCTCTGCCAAAAAAGAAAACTAAAATAATAATCATGGGAATCTTTTTAAGACTGTTTCCAAATGGTGGGTGTGGTGAGGCACACCTGTGATTCCAACACTGGGGAAGCAGAAGCAAGAGGATCACAAGTTTGAGATCACCCTGTTCTATACAGCAAATGCTGAGGTCAGGACTATATAGTAAGATCCTGTCTCAACCAGCATCTCTTCCTGCCATAGCATCTCCAAAACTCACCTATAGTGATCTTTCCTGTTTTTTTTAATCACAGTTATTTTCTGAGTGTGGGTGTACTCATGCCACAGCACAAATGTGGAAGTCAGGGGACAACTTGTGGGAGTCCACCTTTCCCTCCACCATGTGGGCCTAGGGGGTTAAACTCAGGTGGTAAGTATCCCAGGCAAAGCCTTTACCTACTAAGCCATTTGGTTGGCTCTAGAATGATCTTTCTAAACACAGAATTAGATCAAGCTTTTTTGTCTTCAAAAGAAAAGGAAAAAAAAAAAAACTTTAATATTCTTTCTGTATTTTAAATGAAACCTAACTAAAACCCTCAACCATCTACTTTACTCAACTACCTCTGTGCCCCAGTCATAGCAGCTGTCTTGACTTTCCTGAAGGGCACCAAACTCTTTATTCCCTGTGCCTACAGTGTCTTCCCTGGCCTCTCTAAAATTACCTCTTACTGCTGAAACCTCAAGCTTTACGTTTCAAGGTTACCTACCAAGTCTTTTCTCTAACACCCAACTAAACTATGTTTCTCCTCCTAAGTTACTCTTTCATTACACATCATTCAGTTTAAGTATTCGCATACAACTTATTTGTTTATTGATTGCATACAACCTCAGACACTAAGTGCCATAGGTACAGTCTGTCTTGATCCAGGTTCTAGTGAATGACTGGAAGACTGTGGGCACTTCAAAGTGTTTGTTGAATAAACAGACACCCTGTTGTACAACATGAAATCAGTCTCATACTTAGAATACTTTTTCCCCCTTAAAAAAACAACCAACATTGTCAAACTAGGTATTGTTAATAACCCCAGAGCTGTTAATAAAGCTTGCTACCATTTACCAATTTCATCCATTCATCACTTAGCATCAGTTGGAATCCAATGGAGCCTTTAGGAATCACCTGATTCTCAGCTGGGAGAAAAGCGGGTTAACTGGCTGTTCCAGGTTACAGAGTTTATGAAAGAGCTGTCATGTGAACCCAAGTCTCAGTTTAATTATTTTTCCAAAAACTAATTCTGTGTGGTTTATCTTCTCTGAAGCAATAAGATTGACAGAATAACTATTATCATTTAAATACCTTCTCCCAAATCAAAATTACTTTAAAACTGAGTAAGCTTTTACAGCTGAAAATCAGAAATACAAGTAGTCCATTTATAAAACTAGTTAAGGTTCCAATAATTAGTAAACTTACTAAGTCATCAAAAGAAGCAGTCTGATTACGGAACTTCAGGAGTAATTTTAGGGTAACAGTGGGCCCCCTTAAGCTCCAAAAAAGAGGAAACTGAGAAACAGCGCTAACTGAAGAAAACTGTTTCACATGCTTTAGGCACAAGTCCCTCAAAATTCGGGAGTCAGATATTCCTATAAGAAAAGAATTTCCTTGATCTTGATGGACAGTGTACACACACACACACATACACACCCCACACCCGGAAAACCAAAACACCCGAAAGCCGTTCTTCCACTGCCAAGTGTCAATTTCTAGGGGTTTCGGCTAACACTTTCGGCCCGGCGCGACAATGCTCCTCCGACCTCGCGCGAGGCGGCCACCTTCTACCCTACGGAGTCCCGAGCCGTGCAAGGCACCGGAGAGCCTCGCCGCCGCCCCGGGGCAGCACTTGCAGCAGCCCACCCCCGGCCCACCAACGCCCGAGGCCCAGCCTGGCCCCTACCCGCGCCCCCTCGGCTACCTTTCCGCCGGAAGAAGGACATGGCGGGGCCCGGGTCGGGTCGGAGGGCACGGGGGGACTGTCGCGGGGAGGGCCCGGCTCCCCTCATTCAGCAGCTGGCCCGGACTTCCCGGTCCGCAGGAGCCGCCGCACTAGTCCGAAAACAGCCCCTTCTTCCAGGTGTAGGCGCCGCAGCCGCCTCCTCGGGATGCCCAGGCGGCTACCGCCGCCATATTATCAACAAGCCGCCGGCCTGGAGATCCGGTCCTTCGGCGCGCGGGGCTTCACGGGAGGCCGCGGCCCCGCCCCCTCCTGCGCACCTCCTCCTCCGTCCGCGGGGCCGGGCGCGCGGCTGCGCAGCCCACGTGACATGGCGGGTGCGTGCCGCTAAGTTGGCCGGCTCTGACCCGGCGGAGTCCTCGCCTGGCCACACGTCCAGGGCATCCGTGGTCCGTGGCTTTCGCAGACGCAGCCTCAGCCCGGCCAGCTCCTGGGGCCAGAAGCCTGGGCTGCGTCGCTCGGCCACCTGCCTAGGCCTGAGCGTCGGAAAGCCCAGGCCAGCACGGCCACCCCTCCTTTTTCACAGAATTTTGCTAAACGGCGCAGGCTGATTTTGGCCGGTTTCTCCCAGGGCCACAGCCAGAAAGATAACTAGAGAGCAAAGCCTTCTCTATGCGGCTCCAGGGGCTCCCGCCCTCAAAGTGACTTCGGGGAAGCAAGGGGCTTATTTTCATTTGCCAGTGCTCCAAACTGAAAGAGGCAGTAATATAAGTGTCGCTAGTGAATCATCTTTCCATTCTTACTCAAATGCCATTTGCCTACGAACCTCTTGATTTCCTGCAATAAAAGCCTCACCCCCTTTAGTGCCCTTCGCTGCCCCACGAGTTCGTTCAGCGACTGGGTCATTGTAGCTGCAGCTCGTGGCGGAAAGGGGCCAGGAAGGTAGCAACAGTTCATGACGCTCCTGTTCTCTGATTTGTGTTTATTTAATCAATGAAGTCGACCGAGACAGGAGAGCCCGAAGTTCATAAGTTAGAGCAGGTTAATAGATTTGCCAGTTTTGTGTCCGAGTATGTTTGCTAGTGTATGAAAGCCCATCAGAGCTAAGTTATTGAAAACATAACTGTGCACAGATACTGTACTAAGCCGTTCAGGCTAGTAAGAGTCTTTAACCTTGCACTTGGTATGGGGGAAACTAGGCACAGAAAAACATACTTGCCCAAGGTCACAAGCTAACTAGAAGTGAAGCTGCGTTTCAAGGTCAAACTTCTTGCAAGTTAGAAGAGCATATGATGGAATATTGGGCAGAGGTCGGAAAGAAAGGCAGGGACTGTGGCTGCCCCTAGGCAGCAGTGTAGAAATCAAAGGTGCCCTTGGAAATCGACGTGCACACGGGGCAGACATCCTCGAACCTGAGTTGAGATGCCGATGAGTAGGAGTTAAATTGGGCGGGGCCAGGAGGAGAATGAGGGAAGGTGGGTAAGAGTGCTGGCTAGCCTCTTTCGCAGTCTTGACAGCAAAATCATTACTCATAGCTATGTTGTTAGTGGGAGCTTGGTGGCCTCGACAGTGGATAACTGCCACTTTCTTAGGAAGATAGGAGGCTTTAAGCAACTTTAAGATGAGGGGCCCATTGGTTATAGAGGTGCCCTTAGTTGTAAGGAAACTACACTCCTGCCGAATGGAGGCATGATGGCGTAGGATGTGGAAGGCATATTTAGAATCTGTATACATGTTGATTGGTCTTATCGAGAACCAAAGTGAGTGCCCTTGTAAGGGCAATGAGCTCTGCCTTCTAAGAAGTAGTGCCTGATTGGTAGGGGGCCAGATTCTATAACTTGGTTGGAGGAGACTGTGGCATAGCTTGCCTGGCGGGATCCTGTGGAGCTGAGAGATGAGCTCTCATCTATGAACCAAGTATAGTCAGGCTGTGATAGACAGGAGATAGAAACTTGGTTTTTTATAGGTAAAGGTTTCAAGTGATTCTAAGCAGGAGAGGGTGAAAGTGGTGGCCTTAAGGAGGAATGTAGTGGGGTAAAGGGGGGGTACATGAATCAAGGGAGATGTCAGGATTTTCTATAAAGGTGATGTGGAATAGTTGAAGCTTAGAGGGAGACAGGTCTTTGAATCTATGGGGGGAAGGAACAGAAAGACGTCACCCAAAAGTTACCTTTGAGGATTTCTGAGGGAGTAGGGAGGCAGCAACGAAGGCTCACAGGCAGGGCTGACATCCCGATTGTTGTGTCCAGTTGCTTGGAAAGGTAAGGGACGGGAGCGAAGGTGGGTCCCTTCATCTGTCCCAGGACCCCCAGGGAAATTCCCCATTTTTCAGTAGTACAAAGGGTGAAAGGCTGATTAAGGTTAAGGAGAGCCAAAGCTGGACTTGTAGAAGTGCATCCCTGAGGCAAGAGAAGGCAAGGTGCAACAGGTGTAGAGGGGTCAAGAGGCTCTGCTAGGGGGCCCTTAGCTGCTTCGTAGAGGGGGCAAGCAAGAAGAGCAAAGCTAGGAATCCAGGTCCAGAGATATCCACCTAGCCTCAGAAAAGAAAGAATTTCCTCCTTAGTAGTTGGGGGTATTGGAAACCTCAGGTACTGTTTGTGATCTAGAGTGAGCTCTTGACAGGTGGCGGGAGGTAATAGGAAGCCCAGGTATTTGACCTGGGAGACTGAGAGCTGTGTCTTGGCAGGGGAGACCTTGTATCCCCTTTCTCCCAGGAAGTTAAGAAGCTGAGCAGTGTGTTGTTGAGACAGTAAAAGTGAAGGGCTGCAAAGTAAGAGGTCATCGACATTATTGAATCAAGTGGCTAGGAGACAGGTCGAGGGAAATGAGATCAGTGGCCAGAACTTGGCCAAAGAAACGAGGGCTATCCCTGAACCCCTGAGGGAGGACAGTCTGAGTAAGTGTGAGGCTGTTCCTGTGTCATTGTTCTCCCAGATAAATGCAAAGAGATTATGTGAGTCTGGGTGTAGAGGGATAGTAAAGAAGGTCAAGAACAGTGAAGTGGGTGGTAGAGGAAGGGATCTTGAAGAGGAGAGTTTAAGGGTTAGTCACCACTAACCTGAATAGGGAGGACAGCTACATTAATAATTCAGAGATCCTGAACCAACTGGTAAGAGCTATCAGATTTGAGGACAGGCAGGATGGGTATGTTGTAAGGTGAGTGGTTGGGCTTAAGGATACCCTTGCTCAAAAGGCACTGTATGACAGCCTTTAAACCCTATGTTTTATGAAAATGTGGTAATATGGGCGACAAGGGTAGGAAGTGGGGTCTTGGAAGGAAATTTTGATGGGGGTAGTGGTGAAAGGCTTGGAAAGGGAAGGAAGTATCCCAGACATTGAGGTTAACAAAGGAATTTGGGAGATGGCAGGGTGAGGGAGGTGAGGCTGAAGCTTTAGTTTCGAGGGTCCTCAGAAGCTAGGAGGAGGAAAAGCCCAGAAGTTGGAAGAAGAAGGAAAAACACAGCTTAGTCATGATGTCCCTGCCTAATAGTGGGGTAGGGCAACTAAGCATAACAAGAAAGGAGTCCAGAGGAGGAACAGAGGAGGGGGCCTGTAGCCCTGGGTTGGTGGGGATGGCCATCAGTACCCACCACAGAGATCTGAGAAAGATAAGTTTTACTGGGGTAAGCGGGAAGTATAGACCAACTGACCCCATATTAAGTAAAAATGATAGACTTACCTACTGTTCTTCATTGCTGTGACAAAACACTCTGACCACTACCAACTTGGGGAGGAAAGGGTTTATTTAGCTTACATATCCCAGGTCACAGTTCATCAGGGAGCCCAAGGTAGGAACTCAGGGCAGGAACCTAGAGGCAGGAGCTGGAGCACAGGCCATAGAGGAATGCTGCTTACTGGCTTGCTCCCCTGGCCCCTGCTTGTCCTGCTTTCTTATGCAACACAGGCCCACCTGCCCCAGGGGTGGCACCACCCCCAATGGGGTGGGCCCTACCGCATCACTCATCAAGAAGATGCCCCTCAGACATGGCCACAGGCCAGTCCAATAGAGACAATTCCCCAATTGAGGCTCCCTCAACCCAGGTGTGTCAAGTTGACACTAAAGCTATCCAGCACACCTACTATCTCAACAATTACCCTGGGCTCATCCGTGGTGATTCTGATGGTCTTGGTGGGGGCCAAAGACCCAGGGCAGTGTCAGTCTTTGGCCACCAGGCCTAGAAGATCTGCAAGATTGCCCTGTGGAGGAGGAACTTGGGGGACTGACCTACCTTGATGAGGCAAAGAGGAGAAGTCAACCTTCCAGTGTTCCATCTGTCCACACTTAGGGCAGGGTCCTGGTGGCAGAGAGGTATAGGGCATATTTTTTTGCCCAATGGCCAGTATTGCCACATTTGAAGCAAGCTCTGTATGGAGTCCATTGTTGCCCCATCCTCTTCTGAAGATATCTCAGGGCTGCTGCCAAACATTGGTATTTTTGCTATTACAGGAGACCTTCTTGGTCCTTTCTTGTTCCTCCCAGTCATTAAAGACTTTAAATGCCATACTCAACAGATCTCTCTGTGGGGTGTGAGGGCCATCATCTATTTTCTTAAGCTTTCTTCTAATGTCTGGGGTTGATTGAGAAATGAAATGAGAATTGAGAACCAGCATGCCCTCCCGGGAGCCAGGATTTGGCTTAATAAATTGGAGGAGGGCCTCCATGAGCCATGTGAGATACTCTGCCGGGTTTTCGGAGGGGAAGTAGGTAATATCTCTCAGTTTGTCAAAGTTAACTACTTTGTGGGAAGCCTTTTTTAGGCCGGCCAGAAGGCAGACAACCATTCTATCTCTTGCTACCCTGCCTGGGGACCCAGTCCCAGCATTAGATTGGTAGTCCCGGGAGGGTTCCTCACAGGGTACAGCTGCTGCTCCCACAGGATAATTGACATCATTGCAGTGAACATCATCCACATGAGCCTGGGCTGCCATCCAAACCCTTTTCTTATCAGGAGTGAGGGTAGAGGAGAGGATTATATAGAAATCATGCCAAGTCAGATCATAAGCCTGAGTAAGATACCTAAACTCCTTAATAAATGAGGTGGGGTCATTAGAAAAGGAATCAAGACACTTCTCTATCTGGAACAGGTCAGACATAGAGAAGGGGACATGAACATGGACAATTCCCTGGGCCCTGGTGCCCTCCCTGAGATGGTAGATCCCATCCGTGTGAGAATGAGTGTGAGTGGCCAAGGGTGGGGAAGGGAGAAGTTGAGAGGGGAAGCGAGGATGTTAGTCAGCCAAAGAAGGAGAGGGAAGCAGGAGAGAAGGGAAATGGGGATGGTGGTCAACTGAG